TAGAATTTAGAAATTGTTAAAGTATAAATTATAACTAATTATCTTATAGAATTTTATTATTATTATTATGTTAGAACTCATTAATTATTATGTTATATAACATAATACTAATTATCTCTAATAAAATACTAATGAGTGATGCTATTGAAAATTGTAGTTCTCTTTTTTTCTTAAATCCGCTCCTTTTCAACTCGGTAATAAATTATAAAATACAAAATAATATTTTGACTTAAATTTGAAATTCATAAATACCAATTTAAATAACAAATTGAACAAAAAATATCGGATTTTGTTAGAGTAATTCATTGAGACTGATTAATTCAATATGATTTGACCGAATTTTATGACAAGAGATTGTTTGACACTTTTCTCAGAGTTATATGATTCGTGTGAATATTATAGTAGGAAAAGCGTTCTAACGAAATAGTAATAATCTATACCATAATAATTTCTAATTTCTAACATAGTAGTACTAAATATTATTTCATAAGACTATCAATTCTAAACTATACCATAATAATATCCAACTTCTAATATAATAGTAATAAATTATAATTTACAACATAATCAGTTTTAATCTATAATACAATAATTTCTAACCTCTAACAAAATAGCAATAAATTCTAATTCATAAGACAATAAATTATAATCTATAATACAATAATTTCTAACTTCTAACATATTAGTAATAAATTTTAAGATAATCAATTCTAATATATAACATAATAATTTATACTAACATATTTTTTTCAAACAAGTATCATTTCTTATTTATAATAATATAACTTATACTAACTATACTAATATCATTTTTTTAACTGTATATGTTGTTAGTTCATTTTATCCTCAACAAGTGTATAACAAACATAACCCGAAATTAACGTATAGGGTTTAGGGTTTAGGGTTTAGGGGTTTAGGGTTTAGGGTTTAGGGGTTTAGGGTTTAGGGTTTAGGGTTTATGGTATATTATGTTTGTGATTGATGACATTCATTATGTTATTGATATATTATGATATTTAGCCGTGTTTATACGTTAATTTCGGGTTATGTTTATTATGCACTTGTTGAGGATAAAATGAACTAACAACATATACAGTTAAAAAAATAATATTAGTATAATTAGTATAAGTTATATTTTTATTGTTGTTATGCGATTGTTAACAATGATCTAATGGTGGATTCATGTAATGATTATTAATGATTTGAACGTAAAGTATGTATGAAATACTCAACAATGACCCCGGTCCGAGGTGAGCCGAGGTGAAAAGCTTCTGTGAGCTGTTTCGTGTTTCATTGTAAACAGTTTTTTTCTGTGTTGGTTCGGGTATTGAAT